ATTACATTGAGAAAATACTTGACAAATTCATCTAAGTGTTTAGAATAATGATCATCACCTTAGATGTAATTTGTCAAGGTATTTTCTCCAAGTAATGAGATATGTGACAAAGTATATCCTTCTGATGTTTTTTGGTAATTTTCATACCAAGAATACATCAGCAATGCTCATGTCCTTTCATATCAAAATGTTTTATCAACATTTTCTTGGTAGTTTTAATCATATCATTATTCACAACCTATGCATGAGCAATCATCCACATAAAAGACATACAATGACATTAACATTTATCTTATATATTTAAATAAACACATTTGTCACACTATTAATTTAAATCATTTGACATTCATTTGTAATTGTCAAAATTTCTCATGCCAAATTGCTTTCGATGCTGTTTAAACCATTTATAATGATTTAACTAATTTACATACTTTCTTTTCTTTTCCTGGAACAGAAAAACCTTCTGGTTGTTCTATGTAAATTTCTCCCTCTAACTCACCATTTAAGAAAGCAATTTTTATATCCGTTTGATGAATTTCTAAATTGTATAAAGATGCAATGGTAATTAGCATTCTAATGGATGTTATTCTAGTAACCGGTGAGTATGTGTCAAAGTAATTAAGACTTTCTTTTTGTCTAAAACCTTTGACCACAAGTCTCGCCTTGTATTTGTCAATTGATCCATCCGCTTTCATTTTTCTTTTGAAAATCAACTTGTGCCCAAGAGGTTTACAACCTGGTGGCAAGTCCACTAATTCCCAAGTGTGATTTTGTAAGATGGATTCAACTTCACTGTTGACAGCTTCTTTCCATAAAGGAGCCTCAGGACTGGACATAGCCTCTTTAAAAGTTAAAGGCTCATTTTCTAACAAATATGTTAGAAAATCTGGATCAAAGATTTTGAGGTTCTAGCATGTTTACTACGCCTAAGTTCCTCTTCCTCATTTTGATCTAACTCTTGTTCTTGATCATGTTTTTGATCATTACTAGTAATAGCATCAAAAGATCTTTTTATTGTTAATAGTTTCCTGTCCAGTCTTATTTGGAAATACATATTCAAAGAATAATGCATTCCAAGACTCAATAATAGTATTTACATGCATTTCGGAATGTTCTGATTTATGAATCAAAAACTGATATGCACTTCTATTCTTGGCATTACCAATGAAAATGCAATCAATGGTCTTAGGACCTATCTTAGGTTTTTAGGACTAGGAATAGCCACTTTAGCCAAACACCCCCACACTTTTAAGTATTTGTAGGATGGTACTCTTCCATGCCACAATTCATAAGGTGTTTGATTCATTTTCTTTCGGGGTACTTTATTAAGTATATATTTAGCAAAAAGTATTGTTTCCCCTCACAAGTTTTGAGGTAATCCAGAACTTATTAACATGGCATTCATTATTTCTTTTAAAGTCCTATTTTTCCTTTCAGCAATTCCATTTTGCTGAGGTGAGTAAGGAGCACTAGTTTGATGAATTATTCCATGTTCTTTACAAAAGCCACCAAAAGGTGATTCATATTCACCACCTCTATCACTTCTAATTTTCTTGATTTTCTTACCAAGTTGATTTTCAACTTCGTTCTTATATTGAATGAAAGTTCCAAAGCTTCATCCTTGGTTCGAATTAAATAAACATAACTATATCTAGTATAGTCATTTATAAAAGTGATAAAATATTTTTTTCCCACCTCTAGTTTGAATTGATTTAAAATCACATATGTCACTATTAATTAATTCAAGTGGTTCCGTACTTCTTTCAATTGAATGAAAAGGAGTTTTAGATAATTTTGCCTCAACACAAATTTCACATTTATGATTTGAATCAATATCAAATTTAGGTAAACATTCCATATTAATTAATTTATGCAAAGATCCATAATTAACATATCCTAGTCTACCAAGCCATAAATTTGAAGGCTCAAGCATGTAAGAAGAAGATGTATTATTATTAATAACTGAGGGTACAACGGTCATTGCATTTAACTTGAAAAGGCCATCAGACATGTAACATTTTCCTACATACATTCCATTCTTAGTAAGTACAAATTTATCGCTCTCAAATACTAGCCTAAACCCATTCTTACTCAACAGAGATTCGAAAACAAGATTCTTGCGAATATCCGGTACATGCAGCACATTGTTGAGAGTGAGTTCCTTTCCAGATGTCATCTTGAGTACAATCTTTCCTTGTCACTTTGGAAGTTGAGGAGTTTCCCATAAAAAGTTATTCACCATTATCCACTGTAGAATAAGATGTGAACATCTTTTTGTCTTCACAAATATGGCGAATAGCACCAGTGTCCACCCACCATTCTTTAGGATTTCCGACAAGATTTGCCTCGGAAACAATTGCAGAAAGATTGATATCATCTATACCATTGGAAATATTGTCCACTTCGGTCATATGGGCTTGAGCAGGCTTCTTGCTTGTTCTTCTTTTGCTTTTGCCTTTGTTATGGCAATCTTTGGCCCGATGTCCCTCTTTGTCACAGATGTAACATTTTTCATTAAATTTGTACTTTTTATTTTCCTTCCTTTAGAGCCTTGTGATGAACTTTCTCCATAAGACTTTCGTTTCTTAGTTTTTGAAGCATGTTCCACCACAGTTGCCTTAGACTCCATAGGATGCTTACCAGCCCGCTTTTCAGAATTGCGGTTGTCCTCTTCAATCCTCAAATGCACAATTAATTCTTCCATAGAAATTTCTTTGCGCTTGTGTTTGAGGTAGTTCTTGAATTTCTTCCAGCCTTTTGGTAATTTTTCAATCTGCAACTTGGAAGGGTTCACTGAGAGACATGTCTTCTGCGTGAATGTCATGCAAAATGAGTTGGAAATCTTGAGCTTGGCTGATCACAGTTTTTGAATCAACCATTACAAAATTCAGGAATCTGCCAACCACAAATTTCTTTGAGCCGGTATCTTCCGTTTTGTACTTTTTCTCCAACGATTCCCAAAGTTCCTTTGCTGTCTTGATTGGACTGTAGACGTTGTATAATGTGTTGTCAAGTCCATTTAAGATGTAATTCCGGCAAAGGAAATCGGCATGTTTCCAGGCATCAATCGCAGTAACCACTTGCCGGTCGGTTTCATCTTCTTTCAAGATAGGAGCATCTTCACGGAGGAAACGAGCCAAGTTCAGAGTTATAAGATAGAACAACATTTTCTGTTGCCATATTTTAAAGTCAGTTCCTGGGAACTTTTCTAGCTTCTCTCCACAATTTATTGGTACTGTCACTACAGGAAAGGGGGTTGGTGCAATTGTAGCCACCACAGTAGTACTTGTTTGGGCATTTGTTTCAGTAGCCATCAATTCTAATTTATAAAACAAAATTATAATTAGAATTTACACTACACAGAAAATTAAACCAAATTCACAGAATTAAATTATGTAAAAATAAAAGAAACAAGAATGTAACTTTTATTTTCCAATTAATTTGGAAATAAAATAAAATTTTATTCAACCAAATTAATTCCACACGGAAAATTAAATTCTGTAAAATAAAAGAAATAATAAAATAACTTTTATTTTTCAATTAATTTGGAAATAAAATTTTATTTTATTTAACCAAATTAATTCCACACAGAAAAATTAAATTCTGTAAAAATAAAAGAAATAAAAAAAATAACTTTTATATTTCAATTAATTTGGAAATAAAATAAAATTTTATTCAACCAAATAAATTCCACACCGAAAATTAATTCTATAACAATTAAAATACTAAAACAGAATTTTAAGTAAAGAAAACTCAGAAAATAATTCTAAAACCCAAAATTAATTTCTAAAAAAATTCCACAAAAATATATTCTGAATTGTTAATGACACCAGTATCGTACTACTAGTTGTCAAAGAAAATAGACAGTATATTACTACTATCTGTCAAATAACATATAATCACTATTTGTTTTTTCAACCAGAATATTATTTTGTAAATCCACAGAAAATAATTTTCTAAAAAGAAGAAAGAGAAAAGGAAACAAACGAAAAAATTCTGTAAACAGAATAAATTCGAATCTGTCCTTAAGATTATTGGAACAATCTTCTGTGTAAATAAAATAAATTGAAATAATTCAAACAAAATATAATAAAACTTACAGAAATTATTTTGTTGAACCAAATAAATATTTAAAGATTAAGTCAAATGTGTAAAACCCTGTCCTTAAGACAGATTCGCCCCGCTACGGTGCTTACGGTTAAGTGGCGTCTATCTCTCAAGTTATAATGATCTTAACTAATTTGTAGTAACACTCTAAAACAAATTGTTCGGCGAACCAAACTTGTGTTCTAACACTCTGATTATTTAATCTAAAACTAATATATGAAGAATAAATGCACTAGAGCAAAATTTGGACAGCAAAAGCAAGAATTGCAGACTGAATTTCGAGTGTACAAATGCTGCTGGAATGAATTGTATTTATAGGCAAACAAATGACCCGAACAGGTACAAAACATGTGGTGAACAGGTGCAAAACTGTTTCAAACAGTTTCTGCCCGTATCACATGGAACAGTTTTCTTTTTTCCTTCCAAACAATTTTGAAAACATAGCCGTTGGTGAACAAAGTTTAAAACTGTTTGGAATATTTCTTATTAAACTATTAGAATAGTTTAATCAAATAAATTCAATTCAATTGAAAAGATTTATTAAAAACTATTTAGAATATAAATATTAATCTATTTGACAAACTTTAGGAAACTACTCAAGAATCCAAAAATTTGAATTTATATTTAAATTAAATTCCCACAATAATTTTTTTATTAAAAAAAATTCAAATGAATTTTGTCTAAAATAAAATTAATGTTAGACCCGAAAACGACGTCAACTTCTCATTCAGTCATAAATGGTTTTGACGTTCCGTCTTCACCGTGACTTGCCACACGGCAAGGAACACTTCACCTCTTCGGACCCATCCCAAAATACGTTCAGGGCCCACTCAATTTTGGACTCAAAATTAGTCCAAAATATGCCTATATAATCCATTTTTCCAACAGTTGTTTTGAGCATGTTGTGGGGGAGCACATTTGATATTCAGGAGAAGGTTAATAGTCGTGTTGGAGCTGAGTTTCGAGCGGTGACAGCGAAGATGATGGTGCTGTTGGGGAAGCCCAGCTTGTCTGATTTTTTTCCTGGGCTGGTGAGTTTTGATTTGCAAGGAGTGGAAAGGGAGATGAAGGAGATAGTCGTCGATGTAGAGAGGGTTTTTGATTCTGTGATTGATACACAGGTGAAAATGGAGGCGGTCAACGACAGAGGGAAGAAGGATTTTTTGCAGATTTTGTTGGAGCTCAAGGGGGAAAATGGTGCGACACCAATTACCAAGACACAAATAAAGGCCTTGTTGATGGTATTTTCTCTCTTTCACAAAGATCGTGATTTTATGACCTTTTTTTATATATATATTTTTTTCAAAAATGCTAGAGGCCTCAAAAATTTTACCAAAAGTTCTACCAAATGTCTCACATGGGTGTGAGACCCACATGGGACCCACATTGTGTGGGTCCCACACCCATGTGAGACATGGTAAAAATTTTGATAGAATATTTGGGATCTCTAGCATTACTCTATTTTTTTTAATAATCCTTTCAGACTTTGACCCTCTCTATGTTGTTTATTCCTGTAGTATATCATGTAGAGGTGTCAAATTCATTACAAACGCATGAACTCGTCCAATTATGGCTTGTTTTGGAAAGTTGGCTTTTTAATAACTTTTTTTAGTTTGCCTCCGTTTGGGAAGTGGGTTGGCTTTTTGGCTTTTTGGCTTTTTTGGCTATTTTAGCCTGGGCTAAAAAGCTTGGTTTGGGAAGGGCTTTTTGGCTTTTTGGCTTTTTTGACTTTTTTTGTGAGAGAAGAATGTAATGATTATAGGTTGGATGTGATGTTTTGTTTGTTATGGCTAAAATAGCCTATTTTGTTTTTTGTGGCTAAAATAGTCAAAAAAGCCTGGTGTAGCCCTTGCCAAACACAGGCTTTGTAGTAAAAGTTAAAAGTTAGTGTTTTTGATTTTTTTTTTTATTTGGAAAGTTGGTTTTTAGTCAATAGTGAAATTACAATTGGCCTTGTTGATGGTATTTTCTCTCTTTCACAAAGATCGTGATTTTATGACCTTTTTTTATATATATATTTTTTTCAAAAATGCTAGAGGCCTCAAAAATTTTACCAAAAGTTCTACCAAATGTCTCACATGGGTGTGAGACCCACATGGGACCCACATTGTGTGGGTCCCACACCCATGTGAGACATGGTAAAAATTTTGATAGAATATTTGGGATCTCTAGCATTACTCTATTTTTTTTAATAATCCTTTCAGACTTTGACCCTCTCTATGTTGTTTATTCCTGTAGTATATCATGTAGAGGTGTCAAATTCATTACAAACGCATGAACTAGTCCAATTATGGCTTGTTTTGGAAAGTTGGCTTTTTAATAACTTTTTTTAGTTTGTAGTAAAAGTTAAAAGTTAGTGTTTTTGATTTTTTTTTTTATTTGGGAAGTTGGTTTTTAGTCAATAGTGAAATTACAATTCTATTCCACATGGGTCAAAATGTATTACATATGTGAAGTTATAAATATTTTAAACTAAATGAGAATAGTTTGGTCATTTATTATGATTTGACATCATAAACAAATATTAATCAAAAAAGTCAAAAGTTACTTTTTGTCAACTTCTTAAATCATTTATCTAAAAAATTTAAAAATTTAATTAAAAGTCAAAAAATTACTTTTTACTTTTTACTATTTTCTCACAATATGCCTATACACATTAAAAATTTATGTAAACTCATCAAATCAATACGTTGTACAACTGTCTATCATTACTTTCAGGACAAACACCATCATCTGCTTACCATCACATCCCACTAACCCTCTAAAAATTGATTCCCCCCTTCAAACCAAATCATACCCTCACTCACAATAGCTCCGGTACAATTAACGATATGAGAATAAAATTATAAATTGAATAACGGATTAATAAATTAACAATTTGCAATTTAGATAGATTTTGACAAATTAACGGATTGAAAAATATTTTAACTAATTATTAAATATTTGCATAATATATAACACTAATTTATATAATTATCTTTAGATATATAACACAAACTAATTTTATATAATATGTTTTATATATATAACTACTAATTTGTAATAAATTTCATATATTAAATCTCTATCACATTCATTTTTACATTGATAGTTCAATGGAAGTTAAAATATATATATATGTGTGTGTATTAACTATAACAGAATGGAACGATTCAGTCGACGAATTATAAATTTTAAAATTTAAACTGCAACTAGCGATTACAACAATTGCAAATTAATACGAATAGATACAATTTTAATAAATTGGGCCATATTTTACACGCCCTACCCCCACTCACTTTGATCAATCAAAAACTTTTCACAACAGAACCAACACCATCCCCTGCTTTCCATCACATCCCATTACCCTTCTAATAATTAATTACTTGCACCCCGGTAATTAAGGTCTCGTTTGGAAATAGGTTAATTTAGTAATTTTTTAGTTATTTGGCTAAAATATGAGATAAAAAAATTAGTATGTTTGGGATGACTTTTTGACTTTTTACGAAAAGATGTGCAAAAAGTAGAAAAAAAAAAAGAATCTTTGACTTTTTAGTATGGATTATTGACTTTTTGACTAATTTAGTAACTTTTTGACCTTTTGACTAAAAAAGATGGTTCCCAAAACGAGACCTAAGTATCTAACTAACTAACTCTCTCTCTCTCTCTATTTAGTTTTCTTGTTGATTTTGGTTTTGTTGCTCATCTCTAACTCGATAAAATCCTTCTCTTTCCCCAAAATCAATCTGCAATTTATGTCCCATTAACAAGGTTTCTTTTGCTTTAGTCAAAAGGAGTCAATACTCCTCTTCCTCATTTTCATCTTGCTGATCCATCTCCTCATTAGATTTCACCAACTTGTTAGGAGTATTTTCATAATTATGTCACTCATAGAACTCATTAGAGTATAAAAAAATAAAGTATAAAAAATAATTTGAATTAAGTGAAATGTAAGTAAGTGAAAAAATATTTATAAACAAATGCCCCTAAAATTTAAGGATGGAACTTTTTTAAACACATTATTGTTTTGGGTAAATGCATTCTCAAACTGCCAATTAAGAAATGCTTGCAATAATAGATTTGTTTCAACAATAGAAACTTATGCATCTAAATTAATGAAATTCTCAATCCGTGAACTTAAAATTGTGCTTGCAAATGTTTACAACAGGACATTGTAGTGGGGGGAACAGACACTACAGCCACCATGGTGGAGTGGGTGATGACGGAGATCATGCATAACCCACCGATAATGAAAAAAGTCCAAGAAGAATTATCAGGCATTGTGGGAATGAACAACTTTGTAGAAGAGTCCCATATGCCCAAATTACTCTACTTAGATGCGGTCGTGAAGGAAACATTTCGATTACACCCTTCACTTCCTCTCTTAGTCCCTCGGTGTTCTAGCCAATCTTGTGTAGTTGGCGGATACAGCATACCAAAGGGCACTAGGGTGTTTTTGAACGTTTGGGCAATCCAAAGGGACCCTAACTTTTGGGACAATCCATCAGAGTTTAGGCCGGAGAGGTTCTTGGGTGACGACAACAAATGGGACTACACCGGCAACAATTTTCACTATCTTCCATTTGGATCAGGGAGGAGAATATGTGCTGGCATTCCTCTTGCAGAGAAAATGGTGATGTATGTGTTGGCTTCACTTTTGCATTCATTCAATTGGCACTTGCCAGAGGGTGAAGAGCTTGATCTTTCAGAGAAGTTTGGGATTGTTATCAAGAAAGAGACACCCTTGATTGCCATCCCCACACAAAGGTCATCTGACTTGAACTTTTATGCATAATAGAGCACATAACTAGGTGCAGTGGAAAAACACCAGACCTTATGGAATCAATCAGGTTGTAGACCGTGGTTGATTTTGGGATCTCTCCTCCCCTATCGTAAAAGAAGAAGAAGAACAAGAAGAAGAATGCAATTCAGGGTGTACTTTGTAAAATTCTCAAATATTAATGAAAAAAATTATAATTATAATTATTAATATTAATATTTATATAATTTACCACTTTTTGTAATTTTTTTCGCGACAACAACGTTCTCTCAGATAAAAACATGTGTCTCATTTGTATGAGCTAGTCTAATCCTACAACTGAAGATTGATTTTTTTTTTTGTTTTTTCTTTTATTTTTTAGTAATTTTTTTTAATATTTAATTCGTTTTTTTATTTTTTAGATACACCTAATATAGATACACTTAAATAAATATATTTGTGAAAAAAATTTAAGAAATTAACCGAATACAAAAAAAATATGAAAATTCATTATATTTTCATATTCTATTGTATTCAATGAATTTTTTAAAGATTTTTGTACTAATTTTATATTTTTCTAAGTATATCAAGATTAAATAATCTAAATAGTAAAAAATTAAAATTAAAATTTTAAAAAAATCACTAAAAATATAAAAATACAAATTGAAAACTCATAAAACTATTTTTAAAAACTCCAAATCCAAAACCAGAGTGGCCATCTTTCAATGCTGTCAAACTCTATCCTCCCATATATATGATCAACAATGGTTTATCCCTCTAATTTGGGAGTACGAATTTAGCACTAATGAGGTAGAAATTCAAAAAAAAAATTAAAAAAAAAAAAAAAAACATTGCATCAATGAGTGGAGCCCCCTAGAGCTCCTTTAGAGCTCATAGTTTAGAACTCCTAAACATTTTTGATATATGTTACTTCTTTTATTTATCTTTTATTTTTTATTTTTTGTTAGTTATAATATGATCATTTTACTAATTAAATTCTCTTAGCTTGCATATTCAAAACTTTCGAGACCAACCCATCAACCCGGCTAACCATTAGCTCGAAACCATCATAAAAATTCATTCAATTAATCAGTTTTGATGTAGGTGGGTTAGCTGTGGGTGAAAATAAATAAATAAATATCTACATACCTAGACACTTAAGAAAATGTCCCCGTTCGACCCAACCCATGCACACTCTTAGTTGGAACTCCTCATTTATAAAAGATAACCTTTCATTGATCTCTTAAAAATATATATATATATATATATATATTTTAATGTTTATACCTCTTACTTTTAGATCACTCCTTATTCTTTCATTTCAGTAATATATGTAATAAAAAGTACAAAAATTGTATATACTCCGCGTTAGCTATCCTTTGGCTGTCCATTCCTGACTAATAAATTTCTTGGCCTTGATTCAACGTTGAGTACAGCATCAAATTGTTGACTTTTTAGCTTTCAAATGTTATTTTTATAATTGCAAGCGTGCTAGTAAGGATCAATCAATCCTTATAAAAAATTAATTACCAACAAATTACCAGATGATTGTATTTTAGTTCTTTTAACCTCAATGAAGAGGACTTTTACTGGTGACTTGATTTAGGAGAATTAAGCAAAATAACAATTAAATGAAGAACAATTGAAGCATTTCATTAGAATAAAAACTTACAATGATCCAAACTCAACCTCGTAGAGGTTTACAGCGACAATCTACTTGAAACTACTCCTATGAACGAAGTGAAGTGCAGTACAGGAATTTTAAAGTATAGAAATGTAAAGAACTGGAAATATAAAACTGGAAATGTAAAACTGGAAAAGAAATAAAGTAGAATAAGACTGATTTTTTGGATCTGAATCTGGGTCTTTTTTCCTGGGTCTTCTCTGCTATTTATACTTCTCAAGGATGACCATCGAACTGCATTTCCAACCGTCGAACTGCTCCTCCATGATCGTTGATCATGTTGCCTTATAATTAGCTCCACTATGCTATCTCTTGCAGTTAGACTTCCCTCCTACATTCGAATTTAAATGTGAGTAACCGTTGATGCCACATCATCCTGTATCTCTTTGTTGATCCACTACTACTCAGATCTCGTAATAACCAATATTAACCGCCATGTGTACGATCAGGATCGAAGACTTGAATAGTCTTCCTGTATTACCCTTATTCTACCACGCATCGAATTATAATTGGCTTGTACAAAATATGTAGCCAACATTATCCCCCGCACTAATATATCCAATTCTTTGTGATATTAGTGGATCAAGGTCTTTTATCCACGTCTTAGAACGTGCATGGGTTTTGCATTCTTCCAGAAATGTAACTGTCATTCATCATCTACATTAAATTCTCCTTCAATCTTTTGAACACCCCCACCACCTTAATATTCGAACAGACTGATGCATTTTTTATGGCCGAATTAATTTTCTCCTCCATTGATCGAGCACACGAAGAGTCATCTGATGATGTTGTTCCTCCTCGAAAGAACCTTCATGCATTAATTAGCCATATTTACCCACCTTTCTATATTCAAGTCATGGATGACTTCGCAAATTATCAACCCTTAGACTACGAACACATTGCCCTTAATCCTTTGATTCGGAAACTTACAAATATGGACATGGGAAGTTCTTCTTCTAACTCACCCTTGGACTACGAACAAACTGCTCTTAATCCTCTGATTCAGAAGGTCGTAAATATAGACATGGGAAGTTCTTCTTCACAATCCTCTGCATGGGATAAGACTGCAACTTCTTCTTCCTCTGGAGCTTCTGACTGGACAAGCTGGTCAAAACCTGAGGCCTGTGATTTAAGGGAGCGAATCAACCATCACTTTGTCGAGTTTACTGACCCTTTAGAGCTCCCTTCCTATGCGCGAAGCTCGGTGGTCTATCCTTACGTGCCCATCGACCATCGACGCAGTTTGGAAGAAAATTTGCTTGTAGCATGGTATACATCCTCCATGCCTACAAAGATAGTGCACGCTGCCTGATGCCCCAAAGAGGCACAAGGGTACAATCCATCATTCTTGGCCCAAAAGGTGAAGCTTTGCTCTTCTGACTGGCTCGATTATATTAATGCCCTTGTTCCTTCTGCCTTTGCTCCTCCTCCTGAAGTAGAGGCTTCCATACCTTCTCCTCCGCCAACTCCTTGCTGGACAGAGAGACTGAGGCTTGCCCTCTCCGTGGATAAGGTCTTTCGACCTTACAAGCCTCCACCTCCCCTTACTCCAGCTGAGCAGAAGCAAGCCCAATTTCTGCTTGCGGCCTTCTCTTACTTGCCCTTCAGTGTTCTTGAGGACGAAGTCCCTCTCAAAAATCTTCGATGGGCTTGTGACATTCTGACTAGGGGTCATGTCCTCAACCCCCTCGCCCAGGCAGAGCTTCACATGTTTTTGGACCAACTTCCCTCGCTTCTCCACTGGCATTGGATCTCTACAGCCACCACTCAATCTTTGGACCAACTCCCGTCCCTTCGAGTTCATGCCCAGTATGAAGCAGAAAACTTCATTGAAGAATTCAAAAACTTCAAGAATAAAGATTCTGCGTACCGGGATGACTTAGATATAGACGAGTTGGAGCAAGGATTGAGAGAAACAACATTCGAAATAAAAGCTGAAGAGCTCTTTTATGAAGTGAGAGCACATCAACTTATGCAACCAATCCTAGAAGAAATGGAGGATAGAATAAAGAAAGAACAGAAATTCATTGATCATAGTTGGACCAAATTTCACGATCTTGTTATTTATTCTATTCCCTACTTTTATGAGCTTGAATTTATACCCACAGAGGGCCGTTCAATGTAATTGGTTTTTTTGCTTTAATACAACTAAAACTTTTCTTTGTTTGGTATTGTTTGGTCTTGTCTCCATTTGTCTTTAAAAGCTAATTTAGGGCTTCGAACTGAACAATCTTATCCTTCGAATTTGGACTCAATCGTTTTAAATAAAACACTAAAAAGAACCAATATGAACTTTTTCAATTTATAGAATATAGTTGACAGTTCTTACTGATTTTCATTTAGAATTAGTGTTTCGAATCTTAACAATCTTACCCGTTAAAGCTTATTTTAATCACAACCAACATATGGTCATGGCTAGTATGAACAATCAGTCTCAAATTGACCATTTTTTGCTTCGAACAATAGTTCATGCTGTTTTAGTTCAAAAGACAATCTCTTTCTGTATATATACAAACCAACTTTTGGTTTTGATGTTTCGAACATCAATTCCCATCCTTAAGGGGTCTCAAGTTTTGCTTCGAAGGACATTACTTCTATTAAGAAACCTAAAACAGGTCTTTAATCCCTTTTAAGTAAACAAATACTTGAGTATTCTTACATCTTAAGTATGGAATGTGCTTCGAAGTCGACTTCTTCATTTCGAAGCCGCTGTTATTTGACTTTGGGCACCAAAATCTGGTTTCGAAGCCAAATATTTTACTTCGAAGCTGGCATCAACATCTGGGATGTGTTTTTCCCTCCAAAAGTATCAATATTGAAGAAAACTCTTTGTATTCGTACTTTTGGTACTTAACGAATTGCACGATATATTTTCCAGACACAAAGGTTTTTAAAAACCTTTTATTTCGTGTTCTAAAGCACTCGCTCGTTTAACACACAAAACCCTTTATCTCTACCGATCTTTCACTTCTCTCTACTCTCTTTCCCAATTTCGTCCTCTGAGAAATCGTTCTATCAATGGCTTCTTCTTCATTGAAAGTACTCGCTGGCGATCGTATAAGCCCAACCATGGCTTTGAAAAGATGTGTTGATGACGAGATTGCCAAGTTAATGGCCGATGGGTCAAGTGCCATAGATAGACGCCTTTTTGTTCCTCGCCACAGCAATAAACAAGAATATCTCTTGGGTCCCATCTTTCGAGAAGCTCTTGCCCAACTTCCAGCTTTATACCCTCGCTTGGAGGACCACTTTCTTCTCTACGAAGGAGGGCTCGACTGGGGAAATTGGAGGGTGACTCGACCTTATCGCTGCTGGCCGACATTGAGAGCTGAATGAGAAGAATGGTATGATAGAGTTGTACCTATGCGAGAAGATGACCTGCAAGAGCTCTGTATTCTCGATGCCCTCCGTCTTTCCAGGTTCATCATTCCTGAAGACCCTTT